TGTGTAGGTATATATTTTTTCTTTCATTTATCATTTTGTTTCCAGACTGCAGACCTGTTAGTAGGCAGCAGCATGTTTTAGCCAAATGAGGAGCAATTGAAGGTTAAACTGAATTAGGGGAATTTGTGCTCTGTATAGGTCTATCTGCAGTGTAGACAGAAAAAAGATGACAGAGAGTTTAAGTGACCTGATCTAGGATCTGGAAATGGGAAATCACTGAATTAATATTTGAACTCAGGTTTCTTAGCTTAAAGCACTCTGTGCACTCTGCCACCTGCCCGTCTATTGGGTTTCTGGGACATATAAGTTTCCATATTTTTCCTTGAATTAGTCCTGTCTTTGCTGGGCCAGGTTTTAGCTGATCCAAAAGGATGGATGGATATTGAAGCTCTACCAGGATTTCATGTCTCTGATATAGGAAGCTCTGTGCATAAAAGTAGCAATCTTACTCTTTATTCAAGGATGGAAAGTTGAAGGAAAGTGTGAGTTAAGTTCAAAGCAATATGTCTCATCAATGAGTGGTTCCCAATGGGTCATGTTGACGGCAAGAATGGAGAACATGTCTAGAGTTAGTAAAGCAGGACCTGCTTGATTAAGATTGATTATTAAATTAAATTAAATTAAAATTTTATAAAAATACAATTGGAAATGCTATAGCCATTTCCACTGATCTTCAGACATGGTAGAACATGGGATGGAGAAGACATTGCATCTGGGCAACAGGCAAGAAGGAAGGCAACCACTAACTTGCAAACTTACTGCCCTTTGTGCAAGCTGTTTTTGAGCTCACTTTTTCTTTACCTTTGTTCTCTTTCCTTATGATTTAACAAAAGGATAGATTTCTCTCCATTCTCTAACAGTTAGAAACATGAGTCTCTTATTATCTTATTTCTACTTTAATTTTTTTCCAATTTTACTTTAAGAAATGTATGCAAATAGAGATTGTTTTGCTCTTCCTCAAGTTTCTGGACAGTCATGGACAGAGAACTATTCTGGGGTGAATAGTGAGCAGTCTTTTTTTTATTGTCCTCTTGCTTTCTCCTGTGTTTCATTTTTCTCTGGTGTTTTCGAAGAAGCAAGAAGAGGGAGAGAGTGCCTTTCTTCTTTTGAGTGTCAATAACTCTATCTATGCCCTCAATGCATTCCCTCTCACTTCTCATAGCTGTTTGACTTTGTACTCATACATTAATCTCCTTAATTCAGGTTAACCTCGGATCTGTTCCATCTACTGTGTACTGCTGTCTACTAACTTTTTAAAAACAAAACAAAAAAGAAAAGCAAATATATATATATAGATATAGATATAGATATAGATATATACAATTATGAGCAAACACAGGAAAATAACTTGATCCTACTATTCCTTCAAATGGTTCACCTTGTATTTTTTTAAGCAAATTCCTAAAATATTACAAATATTTCTCTTGCATAACTCCTCCTGTTCTTCTGTCATCCATTTCTCATCCCCTCACAATTTTGCTTTTGATTTTCTTGCTCACCTCAAACAGTCCTTTATCATTTTACCAGTGATCTCTTAAAGTCAAATGCCATTTCTCCATTCTTATCCTTCTAGACCTCTCTTAAACATGATAGAATGGATCCTGAACAACCCATACACTAACACCTCTGGTAAGAGGGCTTTCCAACCCTTTTCATGTCATCTCATTCCCCTTCAGTGTCCACCTATCAAAAAACTCTCAACAGTCGATCCAAGAAGTTGTAGCACGTATAGCAGTGATGCTCAGGTAAAAGTGTCGTGGGAATTGACTAAACCAGGTTGAGGAGAATCAAAAGGCCTTAAACCTATTGGTGAGTTAGACAGATGTCTACCCCAAATATTTGAACTCTTCCTTCTAGTGTAATGGGCAAATGGAAATAATTTGTTCCAATGACCATGAAGGTGGCTGAAGCAGGTACTGCAAAGAAAGGTTGATAGATGGGTGTATAGAATGATATTTACATATGTCCATGCATCCCATGTTTATAGAATTTGATCTAGAGGGCTTTGATCTCACATCATGATACGAAGGAATATCATAGGACTATATGATCCCTTAGAGAATAGAGCAAGACCTATAAATGTGAGTGTCACTGATGATCATCACAAATGGATTGATTGATTGAAAAGACATGGATATGTCTTGGACACAGACACATCCTCTTTCCACCTGAGCCTTGACAGTGACATAATCAGCCCAAGAAAAAGGTTCCATTAGAATGATTCCACATAAAGATTAAAATGACCACGGATTGTGTTAAGGCAGACAAAGTGCTCACGAGCAGCAGGAAAACTTTAGTGGTTCTAATCTCAGGGGAGTCTTTGAGTGAGACGCTAGTGCTATGAATGTGCTCAACATGTTTTCAGTGTCTATATTGAAAAACTGCCATGTGAACATTGATACAGACAATAATACCCACAACTAAACTATCATAGAGAGATTAGATACTAACTTTTAAAAGGCTCATGACATACATGTCCACAAAGCTATATGCCAGATTCTTTCCCCCTTTATTTGTGCTATTGTTTGGACCAGTCATGCTCAAGGGCCAAGTGGTTGGATGTGACGGTAACTTGGACCCCTCATCAAAATCTATTATCTAATGATCCTTGATAAGTTTCCTAAGTTATGTACCCAGTAAAATATATTTACAGGATAAGTTCTTTTATTGTCATGTGAATATTATAGTGGATAAAGTCTAGTGATCATAATTCCCACAGCTCCACTGACGGAAATGTGGTTATCCCTTTTTGTCAAGTGCTCTGGAGTTTCCCCTTTATAAGTGATTTTGATGAGTACCTTTTGTCCTAAATCCACCATCCTTTTTACAGTTTCCTTGATTCCTCAGCCCTTGAATATTTCAAATTAAGCTTTCATCTTTTTTTTTTTGGTGGGAGTTGAAATAATCCATAGTGGAACGCCTAAAGACATTTTTTTTTTACCATTCTAGCCTTATTCCACAAACTTTCTGTAATCAGAGTAAAACGAGGAAAGTGGGAACAGATCTTTTGTAATGTAGGAGATCAGAAACAAGAGTGAATTATGAAAGCTGAATTAGTCAGGAAAGTCTGCTTTGAGGGAGGTGTGCAACATGAGAGAAAATTATGGAGGTAAAATGAATATGAGTGTGTATCTATCCAGGTATGAATGAAAAAGTGGAAGCTCTTTCAGAGTACTGGGGTGTGCATGTTGGGGGGACGGCAACGATGAGGATACAAAAACAAAAAAACTAGAACAACAAAAGCCTGACCCAAAGAACTTCACTTTTTAATGCTGTAAACTATGTGTCAAAATCATTAAATTTAAGACAAATCTTTTAAGGTAGCCTTGGGAGGAATTACATGAGTACCTAGGGCAGGGGTGGGGAACATGTGGCCACATGTGGCCCTCTAGGTCCTAAAGTGTGGCCCTTTGGAAAGGGCCCCTGAGCTAGGGGATATGTAGGTAGGAGTTATTTGTGGAGAGTCATAAGCACCTTCTCAGGTCCCACATCCTCTGCCTACCTGGGCCTTAAACTCTCTGGACCATACTTATCTAGAAAAGAAGCTAATGCTAGAAATATCTGTGTAAATATGAAGCTGCATGGATCTAGCCACAGAGGATCCTTTCCCTGGCTTGTAGACCCTTCTTTGTAACAATCATCACCTCAGCAGTCTGGATGAACCTGTTAAGCGTTAATAAATGAAAAAGAGAAGAAAAAATATAACAAAATAACTAAGAGCTCTGTAAGACAATTCGTCAAAATAACCTAACTCTCCAATCTTCTCTTTCTTTTTCTCTCTTCTCCTCCCTCTCTCAAAAACAATATAGATTTATATATAGATATATAGATATATATATTTTATTTTTACCTAGATTCATATATATATAATTTACCTAGATATATATATATAATTTACCTAGATTTTTATATATATATATATATATATATATATATCTGTCCTACAATTTTTTGAGGACATAGGAGTGAGAGTTTTAAGCTAGAGATAAAAATCAGGAAAGAAAAAAATGACATAAAAAAAGACTTTCCAACCAATCACCCCACTCTCATTGGTGGCTCCAAGAAGCTATATATAGCACGTGCAATGGCCACAGCCTGGTAAAACTATCTTGGCAATACATGCCAAAATATTTTGAGGGTAACCAACAGGCCTCAGACTCATCAATTACTTAGGGGGATATCTACTGCACATATGTGTAGATTTCCCCTGACAGAATGAGTAGATGAGAATTTTTTTTCCCAACCTCCATGAAGGTGGCTGAAACAGACGATGTGGAACACTTAGAACTTGGTCAGATATGGAAGATTCCAAGGTCATTCATCCACTGCATTTGCTTCAACAGTCTCCACAGGAACTCTCAACCTGTCATCCACATTCTTTCAAATGCTGCAGCCTGAGTGGGAGAGGAGGTGACCAGGTCAACTGGAAGGGCCTGAAGTCACTGATAGGAACAGCCAGGGGTCTAAGACCCATAGTGCTCTGCTAAGGCAACAAGTCAGTCAGGACTCTGAACTCGTCCAGTGAGGTTGTTACACAGCTCACAATGACTTTTCCAACACATGGGGCCTGAACCAGAGATCAGAGTCTTTTGCTGTGCCTTGGGTTGACTTTTCAGTTTACATTTGAATTTACAGTTCTGTCCCCTGATCTAGTCAGAAAGGGAATAATGAGGACCTAGTTTTCTCCCAGGACTGTTAAGAGTACAGACTCTCCCAGCATCTGAATCATAACCTGCTTGCTGAATGCTGCACCGACACATGTTCCCCTTAGCCTGGCTGGGGAACATAATAGGGAGGGGACAGAGGCAGAGACACTAGACAAATAAATAGGACAGAAAATATGCCCTTGCTGCATTTTAAGGACAGAATAATGCATACCTATTAAGTCTTCTTCTACAAGGTCCCTTCTCTATCTCCCTCACTGCGAGAAGTAATTCAATTCTTCTAGAAGAGGTTGCCAGAAATGTTTATCTCTGTGTTTAAGGTCTAATGTGACTCACCCGTGTGATCTCTGCTGCCAAAGCAGTGGCTAGAATTGGGTGTGGGTATGAGTGTGGGTGTGGGTGTAGAAAGGGGGAGTGCATAGGTACATGCATATATGTATGTATGTGTTTTGTGGGGATGGCCAGGGTTGTAGGTATAGGGACAGGAACTGAACTCAGTTCCCCCAATAGCTTTAAAACCCATGTCACCTCAAATACAAAAGCCAACAGAAGGAATCTAGGATGTGTCTGAAGAAGAAACAGCCCTTTGTCTCAGATAAAAATTCTCATCAACAATTCCAAGTGATTAATTAGAATCTCTAAAGGCGCAACTCCTGACATTTGGGAGACAAACTTTTTTCAAACTGCTTTTTTTCTTCTACCTGATTACAGGAAGGGAGAGAATGAAGGGCTTTGAAGGACTAGATACAAAGGAAATAGTGATCTCTGAGCATAGATATGTCAAGACCCAAATTCTTCTAATTTCTGGTGACTTTTACAGCAGAAAATATATGCAAATCTGTACTTAATAATACTATTTCTATGGTGTTTTATTTCTGCAATGCACTTTAGAGACTTTTTTTGATCACCACAATCATATGGAATTAGTGTTTTTATTTTCAGTAGACAGATTATTTTCAGTAGACAGAAAGCAATGATCATATTAGTTTTTAAGTTTGTTTAAAAAACTGGACGCAATAAAGGGATAGGAGAGCCAAATAAATTGTATATATTTCTGTTTGTACCTTGTCAAGATACGATCAGGAGATACCTTGTATTCCAGAGCTAAGACTCAGCAAGTGAGCTACGCCCTGAGCTTGGCATAACAACAATCCTTTGTACTCACCCTCCGGATGCTCTCAGCTGCAGCAAAATCCCAGAGTCGTTTCTCATAATTATTGTATTGCTTTGACCAGCACCAGATGTTCTCTAAGCTCAGAAAAGCACTCACGTTCTGGCTATGAATCCCTGCTAAGAATCAAACTTGTCTCATTGTTGCTGTTACCCCTCATTGCACAGCCATTCAAATAAACATTGAGATTTGCCCACACTAAAGTGGGTCCCCCACTGCAGGGGCACTGGGGCTGCAGCGTATTTGTCTGCTTTTCCTCCTTGCTTACATGCCATTTCCCTCAGTAAAGAAAATAAACCTCTGTCTTAAGTCTCTGCACAGCTGATTTTGCCTGCTCTGTCTGTTTGGCTTTGGTCTCCACAGGCTGAGAGGTGGAGTCCAGTTGACAATCTCTATGTTTTGTTCCTTTGTTTTGCTTTTTCATTTTGTTTTTAAGATGTGGAGACATCTTCGTTTTCACTTATTTGTCAGCAGTATATAGTAGCTAAATGAGAATAGATTGAAGTTTAAATTGAATTAGGGGAATTAGTAAAACTACCCTGTATTCTATATAAGGCTATCTCTTCTGTAGAGAGAAAAGATGACTAAGAATTTAAATGACTTGGTCCAGGATTTGGAGATAATAAATGACTGAATTAATATTTGAACTTGGGTTTCTTGACTTAAAGTACAGCCCTCTACCCATTCTACCACCTGTGTGGCTGTTGGGGTCCTGGAGTTTACAAGTTTTTATATACTCCCTTGAATTACTTATCTTTGCTGGGGCTTGTTTTAGCTGATCCAACAATATGGATGGATAACAAAATTCTACCATGATTTCACATCCCTAACACAGGAAGCTCTGTGCATAAAAGCCACCATCATACAGATGATTCAAGGAAGTGAAGTTGAAATAAAGTCAGTTAAATTGGGAGAAATAGGTATGCTCTCAATCCCATTCCCCCTCATATCTCCTATCTGTTTGTCTTTACAGTCTTACACCAATTCAGACTAACATTCAATTTGTCCTTATCTGTCTACAACAGACTGCTGTCTACTAACATCTTAAAAACAAAAGAAATAAAACAAAAAAAGAAAACGTATACACACAAAAACACAAGCGAATTATGTGGTCCTACCATTCCCTCAATTTGTCATCAAGTTTGTTTGTTTGTTTTTTAAACGAACTCCTAAGTAACAATGAAAACATCTATCTTCTGTCTCTGCTCCTCTTCTGCACTCATTCCTCATCCCCTTGCACTTTCCTCATTCACCTCGAACAGGTCTTTATAAGTTCACCAGTAATCTCTTATGGTGGAATCCAAAAGCCTTTTTTCAGGTCTTGTCCTTATTGACCTCTCTTCATCTTTTGCTACAATTGACCACCCACTCCTCAATACCTTTTGAGTGGAATATATCAATGGGCTCATCCATGTTCATTATGTCTCAAGTCTAACTCATCTCCAAACCAACCTTCCCATCAATGAAATTCATATTCCAAAAGGACTTATGTGATCATGTCACTCAATTCCTCACAAAGAAACAATGGCTCCAAATTCCTTTCAAAGAGCATTCCCTTTTTGACAAGAACTTTTTTGAAACCAGGAAGCAATCTGGCACAAATTTAGATTAGACAAATGTTGCTGTTGTTTGTTATTGTTAAGTCATTTTTTTAAGTCATGTCTGATTCATTGTGACCTCATTCTATAGGATTTTCTTGAAAAAGACATTGGGGTGGTTTGCCATTTCTTTCTCTAGGTTCCCTATTTTACCACTGAGGAAACCAAGGCCAACAGAGGATAAGTGACTTTCCCAAGATCACAAAGCTACTAAGGGTCTAGTGCTGGATTTGAACTCAGGCCCTTCTGACTGTAGGTCTGGCACTCCACTTAGATACCACCTCCCACCAAATAGGTTTCACTATGTTTCACATTATGGAGGAACTCATTAATGATCAACTGTGAAAACAAATCTATCAAATATCACTGATGAGAGTCATATGTGTGAAAACTATGGAAATATATGAGAAATAGCAATGCCCCACTAGTTAAGTGTTGAAAGAATATAAATAAGCCATTTTCATGAATATAATTAGCAACATATCAATGTATGAGACATTGTACCCTCTATATTTCAGTCAGTGGTATGTTGATAAAGATGTTGGCTAGGTCATAATGTTATTTTTGAAAGCCTGCCCACTCCTTTCTAAGACTGTCATGAAGAGTGTCCTCAATGATGGGTTTAGTTTTGCGTGAATGCAATCTCTACTTCTGGAAAGCTGAGATTGGTGGATTCTTTGATCTCAGGAATTCTGAGTTACAGTTGATAAAGTAGATCAAATGTTTGTCCTAAGTTTGAAATATATATATGATGACCCCCAGAAAGTGCCACTAAGCTCCCTAAAGAAGAGTAAACTGGCCCATGTCAGAAAAAGAATAAATCAAACATTTCATGGTGATCAGTCATATGGGTGGACCTATGAGCAACCATTGAAATTTTAGCCAAGGCATGATAAGGTCATGCAGTTTCATATTTGAAAAACAAATGGCCTCAATATATATGCTTGTTTATCTAAAAAAAATCCATATTGATGAACAAATGTGCACATTATTTAGTAATCAGTGTTAATTCCCCAACGTTATTTTTCCTTTCTTTTATGAATGAATGGAAGGTAAAAGTAATAAGTATTATTTTCATGACTTTGATATCTTTCCATCACTCAGATATCTTTAGGATTATTTCTTCAGCACATCCATACAATTATATTGTCTCCTCTTCAAATCCAGTTCCTTTCTAAGTTGGTTATTTGAAGTGCCAAAGCTACTTTCTCAAGGTAGACTTTGGAAATAGCTATAATAAAGTCAAAGTATGGTGGCTCCACTGTCTTTGATATCAAAACACTTTGTTATGGGAACCGGTCCACATTTTTTTGCATTTGTTGCCATCATTATAGTTTTATCCCATAGGTTGGGAGTTGGAAGTGTATTTAAAGACTACAAAGCACAAGAATTTCTTTTGAACATATGAGCACAACAAGGAGCAGGGAAGTTCATTTACTTGCTCAAGGTCATCTTGACTTTCCTGATTTGCCTAACCGCTAGTGCAATCTGAAAAAATCACCTAGTATTTATTTCACATTTTAAAATCTGGGTAGACTGGAAGCTCCTTCATAGCAAGGACAGTTTTTGAAACTTAAGGTCAAGAAAATAAAACAATTTTTTTCACATAACAATAGCATATGATAATAAACACTCACTTTAGCCAAAACAGGAAATAGTTACCATTATAATACATAGACAAGTGATCGACCAACTTCTCTATTATTTGAATGAGACTTTACCTCGAGTCTAGGTTTCCCACAGAGAATACGTAGAATTTGGATCAAGGGGGGGCTAGGTGGTGCAGTGGATAGAGCACCAGCCCTGAAGTCAGGAGGACATGACTTGATACTTACTAGCTGTGTGACCCTGGGCAAGTCACTTAACCCCAATTGCCTTAAAAAAAAAAAAAAGAAGGTGGATCAGGAAATTTCCTAGCTTTCTTGTAGAGTTCTATGTCTCTAAGGCTGTAAAAAAGAGTTACTTAACCACTTCTTGCCTGTCTTTTACCTTTGCCAATCTGATAAGGCCTACAGATCCTTTCTTAGAACGTTTTAAACTCAGACAATAGTTGATTTGTTTTATCCACAGGGCAGAGCCAAGAATGGAGACTAAAGGCAGGAATTTGTTCGAACTCTCCCAAATTCTCCTCCAAACACTTTAAGTAATGACTCAGAACAAATTCTGGAGTGTCATAACCAACAAAATGACAGGGTAAAACCATTTTAAAGCCCAAAACACTTCAGAAGGATAAAAAGAAAGGTCTGTTACAGAGAAGAGAGAATGCAGTGCGGTCCAGCACAGTTTGTGCCAGAGCAGGTTAGGCCTAAGCAAACCAGAAGCAGGTCTTGCACGTGACTGAATTGTCTGCAGTGGTGGCAGCTTCCAGAGCCGTCACCCCAAAGACAGTAAAGGCATCACACAACTGATCAGAAGGAGATTATAGGGGGTCCTTTGTTGGCAATTGGTACAGGGTATGTTGTTTACCCATACATGGATTTGGGTCTACGTTCTATGTCATAGTCCAAGGATGAGGAGGAGCACTAGAACACCAGAGCTTGTAGTCACAGGGAAACAGGAGCCCTGGTCACAATCCCAGGGCAGAAAAGAGTACTTGTGGTCATTCACAGAAAGGAACACAGGCATATAGACTAATAAACAGTTCTGTCTTTAGAGCCTACCGTACTGGAAGAAATAAATATTTACAGACCCCCTAGAACTAGCTCACAAACAGTGGCACAAAAAAAGTCTTGAAGTTTAGGATAGTGCCCCCTCAATCCCAAGAGCAGAGCTCAACTTTAACATAAAGTGAAAAGTCAAGAAACAGGCTGGAAAAATGAGCAAACAACAACAACAAAAAGAACATGACCATAGAAAGTTATTCTGGTGACCGAGAAAATCAAAACACAAACACAGGAGAAGGTAACAAAGTCAAAACCACTACATCAAAAGCCTCAAAGAAAAATGGAAATTGGTCTCAGAACCAAAAAAAAAAAAAACCTGGATTAGCTCCAAAAAGACTTGTTAAAAAAAAAAAAGAAATGAACAAAAGAAAAACAAATAAGAGATATGAGAAAAATTGGGGAAATAGTGATGCAAAAAAAAATCATGAAAAAAGAGTCAACAACTTCATAAAAGAGACACAAAAAAGCACTGAAGAAAATAAAATTTAAAAAAAAAGAATAGCTCAAATGGTAAAAGAAGCACAAACATCCAATGAAGAGAAGAACTCCTTAAAAAAGCAAAATTGGCCAAATTGGAAAAAAGAAGATAAAATAAATATTTACTAAAGAGAAAAATTCCTTAAAAATAGAATTGGTCACATGGACAAAAGAAGTTTAAAAATTTACTGAAGAAAAAACTCCTTAAAAATTATGATGGGCCAAATGGGAAAAGGGGTACAAAACCTCATTGAAGAATATAATTCCCTGAAAATTAGAATTGGGCAAATGGAAGTTAATGCCTCCATGAGACATCAAGAAATAATAAAATATTTTTAA